CGTTCCTCCGCGTCAAAGGCTTGCACATGAGCATTCAGGTCTGGATGTATTTGTAGCATTTCTTCAGCTTCCCATTTAGGATGCCATTCTACATAGATCATTTCACAGTCCTCAGAAAAGTTGATCCTTTCCGCTTTTTGGGAGTCTGACAGGGATGCGCAGGCAGAGCAGCCCCAGTGCTCATTTTGTTCGCTCAGTGCCCGGTCATTTTGGGAGTATGCTTTTACATTTATGAGACAGTCCCAGTGGTATGTGCGGTGGCAGGTATCACAGGTGGGCATGTCTTCATGGATTTGACTTTCAAATATGTATTCTTTGCTTAATGGGCTCCAGCAGAGCTGGCGACACGGGTCTGCTTTAGTTCTTCTTGGTACATGCTTTGAAGAGGCCACTTTCAGCCCATCAGTTTGGAATATGGGCAAGGCCCATTTTTCAATGGTGACGGGGTACCATTGTACTTTGTATTGTTTTTGCTCCTTTTCTTGAGAAGATCTCTTATATTTCCGAAGGTGTTGCCAGCCCAAGATATGTAGGATGACATGGTCAAAGCGGAAGATGGTGTCACTAGCTTCAACTGCGCTTAATGCAGCAGCCTTATTCTGTTTATAATTCCGGAGCCATTGGGGGAATCAGTGCTTGAGGTGTTTGGAGGTGAGGGAAAAGGGGTTATTATGGGTTGGGGATCAGGGTCAAAAAGTGTTGTTGGGGCTCGGCTCCCTCTGGACCTTCTGCTTCCAATTTGTGGGGTCTGAGAGGGCTCCGGGAACGAGGTCTGTGTGTGGGGTGTCGCAAAGGGTTGATTGGGTTGTATATTATGTACTTGTGTTTGCGGCTGCTCCACGTGGGGATTGTTTCTTTTGCGAGTGCGTCTGCTTTGGTATGAGTGCCCTTCTGCGCATGGTTGGCTGTTTGGAAATTGGCTCTCCTGGCTGCTGGGGGAAGCATTGTCTACTTCCATATCCTCAGCATCAAAGAGGGGGTTGCTGTAAGCCCTAGAATCAGGGTGTATGTGTGTATTAGGGGCACATCTCCCACTGCCTGGGTTGGAATTGGAAGGATCAGGGGGAGCATGGCCTGGGTAAAACTTTGACCAGTTCCATCCTGTTGGTGTATTTTCTGTTTTCATCATTTCTGTATATGTTGTATGATTTATGCAGCGTGATTCAGGGGTTTTATTGGGTGAGCTGTCTTGGTTGTGAATGATTGTGCTGATGAGGTCAGGTCTGTCCTCAGTCAAAGTGTAAGTGTTGAGGGTATGAGAGAGTCTATTCAGGGCTACAATATGTTTGGTCTTTATTTTGCGGCCAAACAGAGATGTGAGCTTGTTCCCGTCAATGACATGCGTGAGGTTATTATTCATCAAAGCAGAGAGCCTGTTTATGCCCGATGGTGTCCGCTTATTGAAGTGAAGAAGGAGTGCTAGTGAACGTGTGCAGGCCCCTGCCAGCATCTCACTGCCAAAGTTGAGGTGTATGCGCACGG